GACAATCTCTGAATAATATTTTTCATACTCTTCGACAGCCTCTTCAGATGATGAAAATCGTTGACCGCGTAACGGGTTCTTAATTTTTGGAAATAAATAAAAGTCACAAGGTGCCAGGTCGGGACTGTACGCGGGATGGCTCATAAGGTCAACGTTGTTCACCTTCAAAAATTCATTTGTCTGTCTGGTCGTGTGAGAACTGGCATTATTGTGGTGCAAGATGATACGGCGTTTACGGTTATTTTTACGGAGTTTGTCAATAACTTCCGGCAAAGAAATGGTCATGTACCAATCACTATTCACGGTACAATGATTCTCCAAAGCAACAGTAGCCACTTGTCCAGTTTTATTAAAAAAAGAAGCAATTATCCGCTTAGAGGCACTTTGCATGCGTGCCACTTTCATTGGTTTTGGCTCATCTCGAAAGACCCATACGCTCGATTGCTGCTTTGTTTTGGGATTGTAACTATAAATCCATGTTTCGTCACCTATTACTATGTCCTACACCAAATTTGACGCCCCTTAGTGGAATCTGGTAAGCATGGCATTGCACCAAATGAGGCGATCTTTTTTTTGAGCCTCAGTCAAATTGTGTGGGATCCACCGAGAGCACAGCTTTTTCACACCCAAATGTTTGTGTAGTATTGATTGTATTTGACTCATGCCTATGCCTAAAGATGCCCGAATCTCATGGTATGTCACTTGTCTGCCTTTTTGTTGTTCACAACAGTGGACGGGCGACCATCACGAAATTCGTCACTGAGATTCACACGACCGCGTTTGAATTCTGCAAACCAGCTATTAATAGTCGTCTTGCATGGTGCTTCATCACCAAAAGCAGTTTGAAGCCGAGCGAAGCTCCGCTGAGCTATTAACTTACACTTAAAGTCGTAGAAAATCATACTACGAAAATTTTCACGAGTTAAATCCATGGTGATGTGTACAACCAATTTCTGAAATGACACCACAATGTAAAAACAAGTGACAGTCCGATGAAACAAACTGTGTTCTACAGCCAAAGAGTCCCATTTTCAAATGTTGTAATTACTTTTTAAATATTGTTTATGTAAGTGGGCAGTTCCGGAAACTTATAGTGCGCCCTATGTATATCTCATTTATTTCCACTTTTACTGCTGACGTCAAAGTAACGATAGGATATCAATATAAAGGGCAAGAAACGTTGGTTTGTTTGAAAAAACAACTACGCGATAAAATAATACCAATATACGCGATTTAAACAGGAAAAATAGTTTCATTTCCTATGTCATAAACATGGCTCGGAGATAGTGGAAATTCGCGTATGTAGTATTGGTAAAAAGCACGTATCTACACCAAAGCATATTTAATAGGAGAGGAATTTAACGTTATTACCGTTTTATTTCATTGGTTACGACTTTCATTTTTGCACAGTAAGCATTAATTTATGTTGTTTACGGACTGATAACAATAGGTTCCCGTAAATCACGCTAATTTGGTTGCCACGGTATATACGCGAATTTGATTTGGCGACTAAATTACCGAAACGGAGACTCATAATCAAATGCTAGTTACGCGTAATTGCACTATTCCCGACGTTGTGTTTTATTTTTAAAACAATAGTAAATTTAAGGCGTCCCTTACTGAGGAAAGAAAATAATGGTCACGTTAGGTATAGACAACTTTATGATGCGACGGATCGATAACTGACCACGGCACAGAAAGCAATCGGTGTCATTCGGCTACAACTGTTTTTATTGGGTATTTTCATTGTCAGTATTTATTTTTATGCTTTTTGGTATTCTATAGCTAGGAATAAATACAACACAGTTTCAAAATTACCATTTTGAAACTGTGTTGTTTTTATTTGTCATTAATTTTATAACAAAATCAAAATATGCGAAAGAAAATAACATGTTTATTTTTCTGTGGCTTAAGATTTAAATATTAATATGCAGAATGGAACGTGACTCTAGTATTCCAGTATTTATACAGGTGTCCCCGGCCTATGTGACACTAAGGGAAAGTACGGTAAATCTTGTTGATAGGACATTTTGGTTCATAATAGAAGAGTATGTGTTAGATAAATGCATTTAATACTAGGTCACATGCTACTGCTTTATTCTTAGACATCTCCAAAGCATTTGATTGCGTAAATCATGAAATATTTATACAAGTGCTCTAGCACGTGCGGATACGTGGAATGGCATTGCAATGTTTTGAGTCATATGATCGCACGCAGGTTACTGAAATTAGTTACTTTGACACTTGTAACAAAACTGTAACAAAAGTACAATCCACCAATAGAATTATAAAAAGAGGAGTTCCGCAGGGTAGTATCTTGGATCCTTTGTTGTTTGTGGTCTATATAAATGAACTGACATTATTAAAACGACATACAGGTGTACTATTTGCTGATGATGAGTCAAAAAAAAGAAAGAAAGCTGAAAACAGTATGAGGAAGAGATCAATTTGACCCTAAAACAGATTACAGACTGGCTTCACAACATTGATCTATCTGTTAACTTAATAAAAACTAAAGCTATGCATTTCCACGCTCATCGAGCTAAACCGCCAAGTTTCTGTAACTATACATAGATTCGCATTTAAATGGAAACATCAATGAAACCATAAACTATCAAGTCTATCATACATCTTGATGCTGGCAAGAAAACTCACGTGACACTCTACTGACACCGTATTACGGAACTGTATGCCCAATACTCAATTATGGAGTCATCCTTTGGGGTAATGCCGGGTTTACGAGTCATTCGCTTGCGTTTTTCGCTTGCTTGCGTAGGCTGGGTACACAGCGTACAAATCTGCCTTTCGCGCAAAGGCAGTTCACGAATCTTTCGCTTTGCGTTGCGGAAAGACTTGCGCGCATTCGCGACGCTTTGTCTTTGTTTTGGTTATAAAGGACGCATGGACGCCGCTGCTCTGTGATTTCCCAGTGGTGCTGTCCTCCGCAAACATTCTCTGTTGCTTACGTGGAAACATCAAGCTTGTTAGATATCAAACACACGCAACGCAAAGAAATCCAAGGCAAATCAAGCGGCGGGCGCAAGCGAACGACTCGTGAACAGTCCTACCTGCGCTTACGCGACAGATCTTTGCGTATGCGCGAAGTGGGTCACGCAAGCAAGCGAAAAATGCAAGTGAAAGACTTGTGAACCCGTCATTTGTCCTTCAAAAGAGGTGTATTCGTCTATTATGTAATAAAGATTTTATGACGTCAGCCACACCTTTGTAGACATAATAACATTTTAACGTTGACAGGTATATATATTTTTAATTTATGTTTGTTTGTACGCAGTAATAAAGGTTATTTCACTCAAAAATTGACAGTACAAATGTATAATCTACGATCGCGGCTTCCCATACTGCAACCAATAACTACCTCAGATATAATTTGCTTTAGAGTGTTTACTCTACAGCCATTCTTTTTAAATATTGTTTATATAAGTGGCCAGTTCCGGAAACTTATAGTGCGCCCTATGTATATGAATAAATATTTATGAAATTAAATTAACGTAATAATAAATTAAAATGCTTTATGTACAAGTTTACTGTAATTTTATAATTATTTTGTACTTTAAACATTGTACGCCCGTAGCGGGTAGATTGTGAAGAATGTAAGTATGTTCATAAGACCTTAATGTTCACCACATTTCAGACAATAAAAGAATTTTATTCTATTCTAAAGACAACTGGGTGTTTGTGGTATCGTCGTTGTTTCCGATTTCCACAACACAAGTGCTTTAGCTACTAACTTTGGAATCAGATCAACGTATGCAATGTTACCTAATACTTATTCATTTATTTTGGGTAAAAATCCCATACACTCGGCGCTTTGGGTAAAAACCCGGTTAAAACCTTAACCCTCTGCCTATCTCCAGTCTCGCATTTTCCGGAGAATTCGCACATCTCAGGAATTCCCGCACCTACCGTATCGAATCTAGTTTGTGCGTTCGTCATGTAGAGCCTCTCCACTGCTGGAGGCTGGCCGTCAGCTTGGAGAACTCTTCCCTGTCCTGGGCCAAGCGAAACAGATGTTCTACGCTGGCAATATGGATCCATTCCCGGATGTTGCGCAACCACAACTTCTTCCAGTACGTCGTTTACCCTCGAATATCGTTATCAGTTGGTCGGTACTTTCATGCCGTAGAACGTGTCCAAGATACGCAACTTTCCTTTTCTTGACGGTCTGCAAGAGTTCTGGGTCCCTCCTAACGCGCTGAAGAACTGTCACATTGGGGACTTTCTGGGTCCAGCTAATGTGTAGCATTCTACGGTAGCACCCTCAAAGGCCACAAGACACCTCAGGGTGTCGGTTTTTAGAGTCCAAGCCTCGCTACCGTACAATACTACAGGCCAGACGTAGCAGTGGAGCAACCTCACTCGGAGCTTTATTGTTAGTTTGTAGCTGCATAAAACCTTCTCCATACTCTTCAATGTAGCTCGAGCAATTTATATTCGGGTTCGAATCTTTTTTTTGTGCGTTACACAATTGCAATAAAGTTCATTATCAATAAAATAAAAAATCGGGTATTCGATGATTCTATTTTCGTTGGAATGGGATATCTCATTAGTGGTCCCATTCAAATTTGAGGTGGAAATTTGACACCTTTAAAGGTGGAATATTTTTTGTACGAAAGTAAGATCTGATAAATTATTAAGTCATGCAACAAAAGTTGTTGTTTATGATGTTAGTAATGTACTTGCGTCGACTAAATTTGAAAACCTCGCAACTCTGTTTTTGGACGAAATCCTTTTTTCACTTTTCAAGCGCAATATCAGGCCATAAAAGCTTAAAATAGAATTTCTACACCTTTTTCTAGTTATGAAATAATGGTATAACTATAGATTGGCATACATGATTATTTGTAGTAGAATTCTGTTTTTTGTTTTGTAGATTTACGAACTTAGACAACGCCCTGTATATTTATAAATTTAGATTTAGTTAGCAAATAATTCGATACAAAAATGTATTACATATTGTGTGTATAATTATTATATCCAACTTTACTTACCAATCCAGGTGGTCCAGTCAAGGTGTGCGTCTTGCCACTGCCGGTTTGTCCGTAACAGAACGCAGTGCAAGAAAAGCCTTCTACAGCCATCTCGAGCAATCTCTTCACTCCAGAATATTCTAGAATGTCTTCCTGTTGAAATATGTTTAATTATTACCAACAAGTTCTGAATACGATAACTACCCACATAAAAATAAACTTTATGTATGCAACTTTAAATTCAGTTATATTTTTTAATCTCATCGTAGCCCTTCTGCGGCGCAGCGTTATAAGTTACTAAATTACTAATGTGGAAATAAAACTATTCATTCGGATAAAAAATCACGTATATTTGTTTTCTCAAACAATCAACGTTTCGGGTTCTTTACAGGGCCCTTAAAGAACTGTAATTTGTGGTTGTCTATCTGTGTGTCCATTGCACCCACGACACAGGGTTACCTTAGCGCGTGTGTGCGTTATAACAACGTCAACATAGCCCATGTTGAGTGTGTGCGTTAAAAAAATATCAAAGAACGTGTGCCAATTGCGCTACAATATCATTTTCAAAATATTTTTAACAATGTCCACATTTTACTAAATCAAATTTATGAAATAAAAGGAAAATAGAAAAAAATAGATTAAAATATATTAACAAGCAGTATCACTAGAGTAACATCAGAAAAAAATTACTACATTTTAAATTTGGTAAGTGACATAAATAAATAGAAAAACAAATTTAAAAAAATTAAGACTCCACACCAATTCATGTACACTCAAATGGCGTAATATGTTAAATTAATATGTTAAAAATGATTATGTACTCGTATACAATTTTTTTTTGTGACCTATCGAACTGTATACTTTAAATTTTGATATCTCTATAATAATTGCACTTTAGATCCTGAAACTTTTCGTTGCTTAGTACCAAATTTCTAAGTTACGAGAGCGTAAATATCAAAACTTAACATCCACGAGGAAAGTTCAAATAAAGAATTGTTAGATTTGTCTCAGAAACATCAAAATTATACAACGATAATCTTAAAAGAGAGTACTAAAAAAACCGACCTCAAAAGTACGTGGAATTACATATAATTACCAAGTTTTATTGATATCGGTTACCGGAAAGTGTGCAAACCCGGATTCATCCCCTAGTTCGCCACTATGCGGGACTTGACACAGGAGATAATAAAAATCGGTTCTCACTACTCAAAGTACACACATCAAAAGTGTCTAGGGATCAAGTGAATATTTTTGAAATAAAATTATTTAAGCAATATTTACCAAATCCAGTCTTCCAGGACGACTTCTTACTTTAATGCTTATGTTATATTTAACCGCTTACCCCTATATTTAATAAAAATAAACTAAAATTGATGTTTTTGCAAATTGTGGGAAAAAACTCAAATTAACGGCGTCAATTAAATGACAAAAAAATGGCGAAAATGATGATTTTGCTCATTTTTATTGTAAAGATAAGAAAATTAATAATCTGTATTTCCACCATTAACACGAATCACACAATTACAGCGATTTGGCATGCTTAAGATGAGTTCATCAAAATCACTTTGAGGAATGGCCGCCCATGTGTTTTGTAACAAGTCAAAATATTGTTGTAGAGTATGTACGGTATGCATACTAGGCACAGCTCTTCTTTGAAGCATATCCCATGCGTGCTCAATTGGATTGAGGTCTGGCGATTGAGCAGGCCACGGCAGAACGTTGATACGAGCTTAGGCAAGAATGAGTGTTACGACTCTAGCCGTGTGTGGACGTGCGTTGTCATGCATTAGTTGAAAAGAATCACCCAACTGGCCTCGCAAAGGAATGATAATATCTGAAACAATCCTCTCTGCGTAAACTTGAGCATTGAGGTTACCCCTGATCCAAATGAGATCGGTTCTTCCGCCGATCCAAATACCGGCCCATATCATTATTGTTCCCCCACCACATGGATGAACTTCCTGACAATATCTCAAACGTTCATGACGTCCAGATGTTCTCCAAACTCGAGTACGTCTTGTATCCGGTCTCATACCGAAGCGGGATTCATCCGAAAAGCACACATAGCGCCAGTCTTCTTCCTCCCAGTTTCTGTGTTCGCGAGCCCATCGTAAACGGGTCCTGCGATTGCAGGGTGCAATAGGTGGAACTCTGAGCGGCCTTCGGGATCGCAGACCCACTTCACGTAAACGATTTCGGATTGTTTGATCGCTTATTGGCAAGCCTGAGGAGCTGTGGAGCCTCGTAACCAACATCATGGCGGTCATGGTACGATTCCGTCGAGCAGTATTTTCGATATACCGGTCCTGTCTGCGAGTCGTGATGCGAGATCGTCCTCCATGTCGCTCGGCCACGCTGCCCGTCATGCGATAGCGCGTCCAGAGGCGACTTATGACGCTCTGTGTAGTGTTAAGAGTGAAAGCCACAGCACGTTGCCTGGAACCAGCTTCCAACATTCCGACGGCTCGCATCATCACTTCTCGGGTTAAATGATGTCGTCTCTCCATAATAATGTAAATTGTTTCAGTACCGATGCAGATATTGTAATGATTTTGTCAAAACGCTATAACTCATTTTTATACAAAACCACATTGACAATCGATTTTCTTCTTATTATCGAATTTTAAACAATATTCCTTATTTAAATGTTAAAACTCACTAAAAAGTATCAATAGCGATACAAAAAAGTTAATATAATTAACCCTAATTGCAGCAATACTCTTAAACGTATTTGATCCCTAGACACTTTTCATGTGTGTATATTGAGAGAGAAAAACGCCTTGAATTGGAGAATAGCAAAATCAACCATTAAAATAATTGCTCCTTATAATAATATTTAGGCGCTATTTATAAAAATGAATCTTCATGCGTGAACAGCCACCCTTAGAGGTGATGATTTTCTTCAAAATTAAATGAGACCACTATGGAGGTACCCTCTTTCCAACAAAAAAAGAATAATGAAAATCGGTTCACAAATACCGGAGTTATCGCGTAGCGTACATACAAAAAAAAACAAAAAAACATACAGTCGAATTGAGAACCTCCTCCTTTTTTTGAAGTCGGTTAAAAAAGCGCTTTTTTCCTTGTCTTAAAAATATAGGTTTTAAGGCTTTCGTGGTTATTCACTAAATAATTATCATTAATTACAGGTTTCTTACCACGAAATATCCGAAATATCGGGAAAATAAAAAGAAATTATAACGTGGTAGAAACCTGTAATTAGTAATAATCATTTGTCTTGGTTTTGACCTTTACGCCACTTACACAAGTGGACTTTAGACGCCTAAAGGCATCGATATGATGGTATATGGTGTTACATACCTGAGTAGCTGCAGGTTCAAAAACGACGTTATATGAGAACACTTTTGCCTTCTGATTGGGCGTGTCTCCGTGGACCACTATCTGTCCTTTGCCGGGAAATTCTATGATTTCGTGCTTATTCACTGCCCGTTCTTGCTCGTTTAGTGGACGAACTCTGCAATTAATACAGATACAAATTATTAATCAATATTTTCAACACAAATATGTAACTTACAATTTAATGAAAATGAATTATTCACGTCACAATATCGTACCCTTGGAGTAATAAAGTTACATCTACAAAATGACAACTTTTTAGGCTTAGAATAATAACGCATAGAACGATAGTTTCATATCAAACGAACTGTCACAAGTGAGGCAAAAATCAAATTCATGTAGGCTAGTTTTAGTAGTACGTTAATTTTCGGTTTTAGTGAATATTTATATAAAAATACAAGTTGAAACGCGTTGCTTCCTTGTGGAATGTGATGTTAGTATCTATTTTATGTTTATCTGACGTATTTTTACACTCATTTACCGCATATGTCGTCATTTTTAGCTAAAATTCTTGAGCTGGTCGCGGTGCAAGTTGACCTTGAGCATTGAAGGCCCGCCCGCTCGTGTAGGCCCATTGGGCGCGCTTCAGTTTGCCTCACTTAGCGTGTGCGGGCTAGGTTTCTATGCGTTATTATTCTAAGTTTTTAGGTTTAAAGATTGTACGAACGAAATTAGTCGTTAACTTTTATGATTAAATATAAGAATTATAAAATTTCACATAATACATAATTTGTCTCATATAGTGTAAATGTATAAATTTGCAAAAATGTACAGTAAAACGAGTTAAAAGTTTCATTTTTGTTTTTAGGGCAACGGAGCATATTTGAAGAGCTCTTAAATGTTATGTTATTTCAAAAAGCATTTTGTCCTCGATGGAAAAATGAAAGATGTGTCTCTGGTTTTGCGTATAAAATTGATTTTTAAACAATTTTCACATTTTTGCAGTATTTCACCGTAGGTGCGACATGATAAAAGCACTTTTGATGTATGGACATTAATTGCTGCTTTTGTGGAATAGTGACCAAATACAAAATAGTTCCTATTTTGATTTATTACTGAAATTTGTTCAGAAAAAAACTGCTAATGGGACACCGAGATTTTCTTTGGCTATAATAATCACATGAAAACGTTGGGATGGTTTACGGTATGTCAATTTTACGTGGCAGACTCATTTCAGTTTAAAAAACTATCTTCCAGTTGATTTAGATGTTTTTGAGACAGGCCACTATTCAAGAAAGGGTACGATATCATTATCAACAACGACTTTATACGTCCTACTGCAGGTAGAGGTAAGTAAAAACGTCGTTAGTTATATCGCACCTCTCATAGAAGAATGGCATTGAAAAATTGGAAGTGGAGTTACGTCAAAAATGTTTATTGCTCCATTAGATACAGAAAAAGATAACCCACAATCTCTCCAATTCTTGTAACTTTATCTCCAATTCTTGTAACATATTAGTCGAGCGTTACTAGAATTGGAAAGGACGTCGGTTATATTTTTCTGGTATTGGAGCAATAAACGTTTTTGATGTACCTAACTCCACTTAAGTTATTCTTCTATAAGGGATGCGATAAGCTATTACAGCATAACTAACAAAAAATACATTAAGGCCTCTAATTAATGTAAAATGAACTTTCTAGAACTTTAAAAAGTTTTATAAAAGTTGAAATCTATATCTCGTAATCTACGACAATACACATAATATGTATATTTTTTTGTAATAACAAGCGACAGGGTGGACAAGTGATGCGTATGGTGGTAAGCGACACGTCTATCCATAACATTTGCAACGCCACTCAGAGCTTTTAATAGCAATGATCTTAGGTGCACCACCATTGCGCCCGTCACCCTGTGACAAGTTGACAAGTCGCATGTGCCTGTAATTTCCTCAAAATATCCGCTGTAAACAAAATAGTTTAAACTATTGACCTTTGTCGTCATTAAAACGCCTAGAGCTCGACGTCAATCGTTTGTTGGTAATGTGTGTAAATTACTTTTACCGATTGGACATCCAGCGAGGTTTGATTTCCTTTTATGAAAATTTTGTTTTAAAATATTCGATATTTCCATACATTCTTCCACTAATACGGCTGAACGAAGTTTAAAAAGTGTCAAATCAAATTCCAACGAACAATTACTTAATTGATAATAGCGAAAACTAACGTTTAACAAGGGGTTGTTGACTTAGTATTTTGAAGGAACCAATCGATTTTCATTCAAATAGTCTTGCTTGTCTACGTTGGGCTGGGTACAAATTGCTAGAGGTAGCGATTTTGGCAATTTTAGACATAGAATTGAGAGCCCAACTTGTTAAGCGTCTATACGTAAATGCTAGCGATGTGTTACGACGACCACAATGCGTGCGTTTTTTTTTCGTCATCTCGTACCAAACAGTGTGTCCGGGGATGTAATGCAAAAACTTTAAGGGTGTAAACTATGGTCAATTTTATCGACAAAAACACCTCCATACGAGGGTCGCTTCCTCATCTTCTACAAAATACAGTCACTTTAATTTTTAAATTGAGAAACGCCTGCGAGATGGGTTCGCAGACTTGGTTGCCCTATATTTTGGTGTCATTGAAAGTTAAGAACATTAACTATCTAAAATAATAAGAAAATAACATAAGTCCACTATATTTTGTGTTAATAACAAAAAGATGATTATAAAAAAGCGAAGTTTTTTTCGCAATTTTTCTAGTTTTTCAAAGTTACTATGAAAACAATGTAGTTAATATACTTATTTTTTGTATTTTATTGTTAGTTTTTGAGTTGTTCTACAAATCGACGTAACAATTGTTACTCTACTCCCTTTACTTTAGAAGTTATAGTTGAATAAAAACAACCCTTCGCAATAACGCACATTGAGCAGGTAGTCTCAAACCGGTTATGAGCGGTTCAGGGAATCGAACCAAATTGAACCGCAAATAATCGGTTCATGAATCCTTTTGTCGTAAGTTAGAAAGAGACAAAATACTTTTTAAAATACAAAAACAAGAGGTGAAGAAATTAAATTAAACAACAATTACGAATCTGACACAAAATTGTTTTATTAGACTAAAAACATGAAAACTAAAACTTACCTAAATTAAATGTTCAATATGGCCGCCGCCATTTATTAAACATGTAATGTAATAGCCGCCTTATTTTATTTACTAATATTAAGCTCCACGAATATTGTGAAAAAAAATAAAGAAACAAAAAACAAAATTCTAAAGAAACCAATTTTGTAAAAAAAGAACAAAAACAAATTAAAAACAGAGATGACCTCAGATCTTTGAGGTTTAAAACTATAAGTAGCGCTTGTTATAGGTAGGCAAGTGGTTTACCACAGTGGTTTCCAGGAGCGAAAAGGTGAACTTTAAAAGCTAGTAGTATAACTTTGAAAACGCTCTAAGCATGTAACTTTTAAATTATAACTTGTCACAGTCAATTGAAAAGCCGCCACAACTGTCACCTTTTACAGATAATCATGACAAATAGATTGAAGCTATGAACTTGTTTGTATGTTTGTTTAACAAAAGAAATGATGCCACGATTGTCTAGTCTAGACTGTGACGTGTGTGTTTGATGGAAATTATCATTACTAGGTTGAACCTGATGTTTCTTTGATAAGCATAAAAAGAAAATATTATTTACTTTTAATTTGGTTTTTCAAACTAAATGTATATTTACATTTGGGTTGAAAAAAATCTAAGAATGTAAATAACAAAAAAAAACAAATTAATTATGATTGATGATTTTTTTATATGTCCTAAGGCCTGTAATTTTATATGAAATTTTCGTAAAACTGCGTGTTTAACGAAACACATTTTTAATACAATCGATTTGTTTTACTTCCACTAATACATTGACATCTTTGTACATCCTAAACATACATTTAAGCGAAGAATTAGTGGATAAATTTGGCCACCCTAAGCTTGATATACTTGAGTTTTTTTTCTTTTTTTACCCCTATCACAATCATAAATTGTTCCTTTAAAATTTTACCTTCTATTTACAATATTTATTACAATTATCATTACCATATCTAATTTAGACTCTATCTATTTATATTATTATGGTCTATTTTTTTTTAATAATTCTGTAAAAAAATTTTTATTACCACTCAGTAAATAGATTTAAATATAGGTACTAATTTGTAATGTATACTTATTTATGTTGAGTTTAATTATTAAATCTTAAGCACACTTTGTCACGTCTTGTTATTTTTTTTAAGTTTCATCATCATGTAAAATAGATTTTAAGTTTGAATTGTATGCTGTTGGATGTCCTTCAATAAATAAACAAATATTGAAACTTGAGTCTAAATCAAAGCCGCTTAGCGCTGTGATGTTTGCAAAATTATTCACAATGTTGCACCACTTTAGTGGTGGATGGCGCAAAAACCCAAGATTTCCCAATAATATTAACTATTTGGAGTTATAGCCTTTTCAGATTCAGTTAGAAAGGTTTTGTTATACATTTCACATCGTTCACACTAATAATAATAACCTACACACTCTACTAGAGAAACTTTGCATCGCGGATGCCATGGACACACATAAATAGACAACCACAAATTACATCCAAACTCACGGGAGAAATAAAGGTAGGCCATACAAATATTTCTCCCGGCCCGGAAATCGAATCCGTGGCCTCTGCGTGGCGCGGCATGGTAACCGTTCGATCACAGTGGGAGTTTCATTAATTATATTAAATTATGCTACTTATTTCAATAATTTAATAGGATTGTTCACTGAGTTAGTCATTGATTTTTAATTATAAATGTGGATTTAAATCAAAACGATTTATCCATGCCAACCCTGATTTTAAAAATTAAAAATTATAATGATTTGTCTTTGTCAAATCTGTGATTATAATTAAAATAGACAACTTTTCCATATCCTTCAAGATAAACTCCCCTGATAACAATTTAATAGTACGTACATTATTGCAAACGCCGGGATATAAGGGATTGCTGGACGAGTAACTCATGTTACAAGGACGAGCGCGAGTCAAGCAATCCCCATTCCCGCCGAGGCATGTATAGTATTTTTCTCAAACAATGTGAGGAAATAATAAACTACTAAAGACAGGAAGATGTATAATAGTAAAGTAAAAAATTATTAATTAATATTACAATAATATTTGACGTATTAGGATAATTGCTAAATGAAAATGTTATTGTTTTTCCAGGCAATGGTGATGATGTGTTTGAATGTGTATCTATTACTGTATTTTCGTTATCGCTCTTCTCACTAGCACTCATTTTCGCGACCAAAATACAAAAAAGACGAGAAAACAAAAGAATACCAAAACACTTTAGTTTAAATGTTGCGGCCATTGTCTTCTTCGTCCAACACTGGGCAGTTGGCTGTACGAGTTTTTCTTTTGCCCGTTTACTTAGTTCATTATACAAACATTTCCGAGCATGTTTGAGATTTTTTTTTGTATTGTTACAGTGTAACAATTAGAATTTGTACCGCAAGGGGCGAAGAGTTGAATTAAAATCTTACTTGTCAAGCTTAACATTCTTTTTGACCATAAAAATCCTACAGAAAAATATGAAATAGTAATACGCAATACCTAATAAAAATCGCGTTGTTTACAGGTTTGAATGCTATCAGATTGGTCCCTTAAAGTGACACATTGAAAGGGCCTGTCCTCGGTCGATCCTTGTACGCGTCAAGGACACTTTACCCTTGGCTTTTATATAATAAATAATACGTTATTATGATTTTGCGTAGCGTTAAATTGAAATATTTTGCGATTCATTGCAACAAAAATGCATTGTGAGGATTTTTATGTGCAGCAGGAGGGAATCGAGCACACGAGTCACTAAGTAGGAAGAGGTCGTCGTCGCACATGGACATTACAGCACCAGAAGCTTAATGCCTATGAGATCCCCGTTGACTCACTTTTTGAAGAACCCCACGTCATAGCGCAAAGGGAATACTTCAGAAGGAAGATCATCCACATCTTGCAGGTGGTAGCAGCTCCTTGTGGAAGAGTTCGTCCAGGAAAGGACCGTCACCTTACCTATTTCTGCCGCCAAGCGGTGATGTAAGCGTTACTGCGTTCCAGTTTTGAAGGGTAAGGGTGCTGGTGAAATTATAGGCAGGTGGGACTTGTCAACTTATGTCTCAGGGTGATGGGCGCAGTGGCAGTGCCCCACAGATCTTTGCGATTTAAAGCTCTAAGTGGCACTGCAACTGTTATGGACAGACGTGTAGCTTACAACCAAGCGCATGAGTTGTTCGTCCCGTTACTTGATAGTACAAAAAAAAGAATATAAAATTTAACTGCCTCAACTCGTTACCGTGCTGGTTTGGTCCCAAGTTCGATTCCGAAGCTGGAGAAATATTTGTATGGCATATATTTATTTCTGTCATGGTTTGGATGTAATTTGTGGTTGTCTATGTGTGTATGCACCTGCGACACAGGCTTTCCCTAGTGTGGGGCTATTAAAAAGACAAAAAATTCATTGCCCAATTACATCTTAATTGATCTTAAAAAGCAGTAAGATCACGCATATCTCCCACTGGGGCAGGCACAGGCCGTGTACTTCTTTCGCTTTTGCATCAGTCTCTTCATACAGACTCGTTTATTCTTGGTACTTTTCACCTGGTCGTTTTTAGGACATCCTCCACTTGATCGAGATTTGTACGTCAAGCTCTACTCCTCCCCACATTTCCCTACGCACTCGCTCTATAAATTTAAGCTATCAATCTATTAACATCCATCTTTGCTATGTGACAGTATTATCATAGTATAATAAGACCAAGTAGGTCAACTCACGCTCGTTCATAAATGTATACACTTCGCTCAAAGCGCAGGGTTTGTTACTGAAGAGCGGTTATGCACTACGTTCGAATACCATGGATCGTGGATTATCAGTACTTAAAAAAAAATCAAGTGACGGGGCGAACAAGTCATGTGCCTAAGCTACACGCCTGTCCATAACAGTTGCGGAGCTTTAAATCGCATAGATCTGATGGGCACTGCCACTGCGCCCGACACCTTATGATATAAGTTGACAACAGTAATGCTGACATTACTGCTTGGCGGGAGAAATAGGTAAGGTGGCAGTACTTCCCTGGACGAGCTCTTTCACAAGAAGCTCTACTGCTATTAATGCTGTAACTACCGTATGAAATGCTGAACAATTCCGAATTTGAGGCTTGTTCTAACTACCACAAACAACAATAAACACGTCTACAACTTGATGTCATTTTTTAAACACCGAGCGACCGTTTTCTGTTTATAATGAACGGCCCTAGCGATGACCCGTGCTACGCAATGCGAGTGCGGTGCGAGGTTGTGCGAATGTGTGCGTTCGTACACGCCTTGCGGCGGGCGTACACACATGCAACCTACGCTGCTATGTTTGAATGAAGTTACCATACTTGTTTTAATATGCGATTGTTTTAAAATGGCGTAATATCTTTATATGTGATAATAATTGGAAGTTGATAATCAATAATGTGTTAACCAACATGATCTTGATTTTGAGAAAATGGCGTCCATTTGGCGGTTTTTGATAGTTTGTTCTAAAATTTTCTTATAAAATAAAAATTTTTACTGTTGTACTTGGTGTTGTTAGGGAATCATAGTAATAAATCACAACAATATATCATTAAGGACACACATTTAGTATTAAATTATTTATTTAGTCACTTAATCTTTAAATTATGAAATCGACCAAAAAAACCATTGGTGTTAAAAAAAAAATTTAAAAACCCGATTTTCATAATTGGCAAAAAACGTGATTGATCCCTAGACACTTTTGATGTGTAGGTCGTCGTCTTACAGTGAATACCTCGTATATGATGTCTATGTAATTTTTCAGGACGAAAATAACAGTCTGGTGTAAAATGTAGTAAACGCAATATTGTTTGTAGCTAGCATTTTAATTAGTAAAATTATACATCTTTCAGATACTATATTACTTTACTAATTTATTTGAGCAAGAACTTTATAAGTTTTTCTTTAACAAAAATCAGTAAAAACGAACTATGTGAAAATGCATATGCGAGGATTTCACTCTAAGGTGACGATATATTCCTCACCTGACGACCACATTAATGTTGTCCTCATCAGAGTTGAGAGTTGTGCTGGAGCCGCGGGTGCTACGGTCTAGACTCGCTGCTCGACTGCTGCCACTATAGTCAGACAATAAAACATTAACCATCGTCAAATATTATTGATAACACTTAATTTTAATATATATTTTTTTATATCATAAAAAATATATAAGTGACTGGACGAAACCAGCCGCCGAGTAATTCAATTTAGCTTCCTTAGGTTTAAAGGTCTAAATAATACAATCGTATCAGTTGAAAAGGTTGTATACCGTAATGAGCCGTGACGTGAACCTGTCACGGCAATAAAATAAGAAAACCATAGGAATTTATTGTAAGTTGATGGTAAAGAAAAGAAAAGAAAAGGACCAAAAGGGCCGAGTTATGCGGTATTACAGATTGGTATTAAAATTGGCACATGATTAGTAGCAACCATTATAAATCGGCATTAAAACTGGTAACGGAACCAAAATTAGACGCAATTTAAATATTAACAGCACTGTACGCTGCCGCCATCCAGCAGGGAGTGACGATTGAACGAAACAAAATCAGAATGACGAGGCAAAGGAATTAAAGAAAGATTCAAAATTAAAAACGAGTGGCCAGGAACCGGAGAAAAGGCGATAAAAAGGTGGGATGACGATGTATGGAGGTCACATCGTCACACAGCTAATGGCTATTGTGAAGAAATATGGATAATAACGAAAAGTCACGCGGAGAAATTACTACAGATAGTCAACCGATCTTCATCGATTCTTCTACAGGATAACGCCAATAAACCATCTCCACCGTACAAGAGTTGCAGACGAGTATTCTTCGCCACCCTTCATACTAATCTGTATTGGTCCATGATCTTGGCCCTTACCGACTACCATATTCCCAAAATTATCTACACAGAAAATAATTACTTCCAGTCAGGCAGTCTTAGACTGGTTTCACAGCTGTGTGCACGGTCCGTATGGACGGTATGTCTGCGGGCCATCCGCAGTGCTCTGAATCGAGTATTTAATTTAATTGGGATATTCACGGAAAACAGTCGCCTAGATTGAAAGCACGGGTGGCTTGTGCGGAGTTCACGCGGAGCGTGATCCGTACGGGACAGTCCGCGTCACTGTAAAACGGTGTTCTAACGCCACACGTGTTACTCCGTTCCGGTGCCCCGCGCGGAATGTCCGCAGATAAATCCGCACCGCTGAAACCAGCCTTAGTGGCAGGAGACCTCCTTGTGAAAGAGTTCGTCCAGGTAAGTACTGCCGTCACGCCTGTTTCTGTTCGTCCCAACTTAATATTATAAAAAAAGTAGAAAATTAGTTTCAAGATGGGTACGGCGGGCGTCCGGGCCAAGCTCTGGTGGACCCGAACTTGGTTATGGACCAGGGTTTGTGGTTAGCTGCAGGAACGAACACATTCGTCTGCCCCGGTGTTATGTGGCCGGGGCATTCATCCCGCGCGCAGCTAGCGCGCCTTAGTAGCGGTCTAGATGAGGGCCTGAGGCAAAGAGACGCAAGGGCCACGTGTCCGGACATTGTCGCAGGACGCTGCTAGTTGGCATCTCCGGCACTAGCCCGAAGAGCTAGTGTAGAGGATGAGCTAGACATGTTCCGGTTCCTCCGGCTGCGTAGGAATTTTGAAACTGGAGAGACGACGTTCATTCGGCGTCGGGAAATGAGCGTGCCTTACAGCCACTAATGAGGAGATTTGGTAGTCGACTTAGAGTCGGCGGGTCAGCGGTGACAACCGTTAGTCGTCCGGAGCGCGACGGGAAGTGAGCGTCTCTAGAGCTCCGGTACCTATCTGGAAAATAGGGAGGGTGCTGTACCTGCATGTGCACCCGGGGCTGCTCACCTAAGGCACTAGCCTTAAAACTTATGTAGAAAGATATTGGACTGACCCTCCTCGCTATTCTACAACAAAGGCTATATAAATGAGCTTTCGGAAAGAGAATCATATTTTGATTAAATATTTGATTAATTTTTATTTTCCTAAAACATTAAAGGTTATATTTATGCATTATTAACCCCCATTATAATAAATCGTCCATTTCTGTTCAGTCTTTTGAAGAAAATGGTGTTTACATAGAATAGCCACTAATATTGTTTACTTAGATAGAATTTTCAAGGTAAAAACATCGATGTGTGTAAAGTTGCATATGCGATCGCTTTTTGAATAAATAATGGTAAAAATTACCTTAATAATAATGACTGCTTCGCATGAGTAAGGTCGGCGTTTGATATATGTATTAGATTGTAGAAATAATTGTTGTTATTTAAATACAACGTAGCACTGAAACTTTAGTTATTAAACTTACAGACAAAAGTAATATATTATTTTAAATTTTTAATCGAAATAGTTTCATGGCTTGCCCGTCGTTGAAATATCAATCACTGTCACTTCCGTATCTGAAAAACAGTTCACTTTTTAACCGATTTCAAAAAGGAGGAGGTTCTCAATTCTACTCTATTTTTTTTGGTCTTATTTAAATTAGAAGAAAATATTCCACCTCTGAGGGTGGCAAACTAGGGGATGAATCCGGTTTCGCGCACTTTCCGTTATCCGATTTAAATAAAATTTGTCAAATAGATGTAATTCCACGAAATTTAAGATGGATCAGAGGAAAAATTCCTAATCTTCGATTTGATTTTAGAGGGGTATATCCACTTTAAAGTTCAAAATAAAATATTATATGAGTAACTGCACGATATATTCAAGCATAGACATTAATCAGAAACATAAAACAATAAAGTTTCCTCGATAGATAAAAATCACGAAATGACCTCTAATTTTCACATTTTTTCGATTCATCCTCGAAATGCTACAGGTTATTAGGACAAAAATTAGATAATTAATTATATATATGCATGAACGAGAACTGTCACTACGGATTTTTTTTTAATCCCTTTAGTTTTAGAGTTATTCCGCTAAAACGAATTTGGTACTTTTAATGCGCAAAATTCAACATCTCCTGTCGCATGTCACGCGAACTTCAGGCACATATTTGTCTCACAAATGTGGGCGGAGCCAACGTCAAAACTTTTTTGGCATGCTCCCTCTTAAGGTCGGTTTTTAAATAAAAAAGTTGTAACGAATCAGGAGGGAGTAGAGCGTTTGATTAGCGTCATAATTGATATTTCTATTCTATTTCTTTGGTTTTTTTGTGTTTTGTAGTGTTTGTGGCTTTCGTTCGAGTTCGTTGTCGTGGATTGTTAACAAAATATACCTACGTTAAATGTTGGTTGTGTTTTATTATTTTATTTACTCGTAGAAAAAGTATTGTATGCAATCATTTCATAATTAGGTCTTAAAATCTCGTACCTATTACTTAACGCAATTCTCAATATTACTATTTTACTTTATTTTTAATTTTAAATAGTTTAATTTCTATCTAATATAATGTAATAAAATGTAATTCTATCTCTTGTAAAATATGTATGTATATTTTTAATTAAATATAAAGTTTTATTCTATTCCGAAATATGGTTCATTTGTGAGAGTATCCAATATTTTTCTTTAATCAATTTAAAGTAAGTACTTATTTTCCATTAAATTACAGTAACATGTGTTATTTCCCAGTGCTTAGCGTTTACCTAAATTGGTAAGCGATTTTATCGTTCCCTTAGGCCACAGTAAACAAAAAAAATTACTGCTTGCAAGCATCGATCTAAATCATAATGCATTATCGAACCAAGTGATCATTCTATATCACAGTATTAGCTGAATACTGTAATAATGTACATCGAAGACTTGCAAATTTGAACTATTATGTGTATGACTTATGATGCAGTTTTCAGTGCCGAAGTTGAAGTCGTATCGTGGTTGAGCAGGTTTTCAAGCGCGCGAGGTAGACGAGGAGGAATTCTATGCACGATATTTTAACATTATTTGCTTTTTAAAAATATACTGTAAAATAAGCATGACGTACTTACTACGGAACACGGTAGAGAAAATTTTATTGAATTATACCATATTACATTCCAAATATAAAGTACGTGTAATAATAACGCACACACTGCTTATACCTAATAATGTATATATTATGAATGTATACTTCTTTAATAATATATACCCTATTATATATTATTCACACTCACAGCTATGGTGCCGTAGATAGAAAATTTTAATGAAAGAGGACTTCATTTTGAGTTTTAAAAACATTTCGAACTGCATTCAAATATTTTTAAATGATCGCCTGTCTGAACAGGAAATCGAACCCGCCAAATGTGAAAAAAAAACACCTATAATTTTACTATACTGATCGAAAGCCTGAATCATAAGGATTGTTTTCTTTTAAATAACAAACTATCTTAATTAAAAGATATAATATATTTAATTTGGAATTTTGTGCAGGAAAATGAATAGCTTTTTCTCTGACTTTGCCGCGATCCTAACAACTGACATTATCATTTCAAAGTATTAGTAATGAATACAAACTTTCAACTTATTATATAAAGAAGTCAACAGAAAGCGAAACTATCAAAAGATTGACCTACGACCTATTTGTATACTACAGAAGGTGACACATTTTGAACATTCGATAACTTAAATTGACTGTAAGTTGCTGCAACTTACAATCAATTTAAGTTATCAAATGCACCTGACTATTTTAATAAAATAAATTTTTTAGTCTTCCTTTTATTTAAGATGCTATGTCATTTAGTGGAAAACATCTTTATGATTGAAACTTTTGATGGGTATAGTAAAATTACAGATTTTTTTCCACATTTGGCGGGTTCGATTTCCGGTTCAAAAAAATCTTTGAATGCAGTTCGAATTGTTTTATAATCAAAATGAAGTCGTCTTCTTTCGGTAAAATCTTGTATCTACAGTATTTAAGGTACTTTCCCTCCGTGTGGCAAAGCCGTAAGACGCCCTATATATGTACATACCTATATATGTACGTATACGCCGTATATGTTTTAATAATATACACTCCTATATGTATATATTTTTAATAATGGTACGAGTATATATAAGGTGTTAGTGAAATTACAGGCGCATGGGACTTATCAACTTATGTCTCAGGGTAATAGGCGCAGTGGGAATGCCTCTCAGATGTTTTGGACAGTCGTGTCGCTTACCACCAG